GGGGGGGGGGGGGTGGGGGGGGGTGTTGGTTTTGCATCTCTGCATGGACCCCTCGCTTGATGCAGAGGGCCAGCAGACCACAATGGCAGTTTTAGAGAGCTATCGCGGGCCAGTCAGCACTTCCTGCCTCTCAGCAGCCCAGAGCCCATGTGCCCTGTGGCTCCTCACTGCCACCAGCAGCTGACCGTACAATCCTGGCCCCGCCCCACCCCACCCCACCCCTGCTTTGGCAGAACCAAGAGGGAGGCAGCCTCTTTTCACCCCAGCCCATCAGCAGCTTCTGCCCGACTGCCACTGCCACTCATCTTGGGCAGGCAGGTCCAGAGTGGGATGGTGTTGGGTCTGTGCACACAGGTCCCAGCTGGTCCAGAGCTGGTCTGCTGTGGTCAGTTCTGGTCTGGAGTGGGTGCGGGACGAGTTGGGCCAGGGCCAGGGCTGCGCATGCAGGTTCCTGCCCGTCCCCATGGGGCCAGAGTCCAGTTGTGGAGCTGCCACAGCCCTGCTGTGCACCCAGGAGTGGCAGGACACACCATGGGCCAGACAGCATCTGGACCAGGCAGCACTAAGGGACCCGCTGCAGGCCTGATAAAGTCCCTCTGTGGGCCAGATCCAGCCATTTTGCCTGCCCCTGGTTTACAGGGATCCCTGCCTGGTTGCTGACATGCAGCCAGCTCTGGGGAAGAGTTGTACCCGGTAGTGTGCCAGCTGGATGGCGATCTGGATGAAGGCATCGGGGCTGGTATGGCACTTCTTGATGAGCCCCTTCCCGAACTGCTTGAAGGGGAAGGTGTGGAAGTCAATGTCGTCTGCCAGGGCCTGGGCCACCCTCAGGGATCCCTGGATCACCTGCTGGCACTTGGAGGGCAGGCAGGAAAGGAGGGTAAATGTTATGAGAAGGAGAGTGCCCTCCCCCCAGCCCTTCCTTTGCCCAGTGTTGCAGAGACCCCCCAAAAGGGGCCCCACTCACATGGCTTGTCCTACTGGCCCCACCCCTTGTGGCCTGACTCCACCCCCACAGGCCCCACATCCCGAGTTCATGCTACTAGGCCAACCCCTTTCTGTGACACCACCATTGCTGCCACCTGCATGCCCCACCCCACACTGCCCCCACCCCTTACTGATGTCACCATTGCCCCAAATGCCTGTGATGACCCTCCCTTACAGGCTCTGCCCATGCCCCTGGTCCCACCCTCTAGCTCCATCACCCTCCAGGTGTGCCTCAGGCCCTGCCCCCAGCTCTCACCTCCTCAGGGATCTCCCACTGCAGTTTCTGAGGGGGGGGGATGTCAGGGTCCATCTCCCCCTTGCAGTGACCATTCACGTCATAGCCCAGCTGGAAGGCATCTGTGGCCAGCATATACTACAGGGGTTTGGGTGGGGCGAGACGGGGGAGACAATGAGCTGAGGACTCAGGCATCCTGACTGCCACCCCCCCTGCTTTAACCCACCAGACTCCACTCACCTCCCAGAGCCAGGATAGAACCCAGGAGTCCTGGCTCCCAGCTCCCTTGCTCTGATCCCCCAGACCCCAAGAGCTAGGAGAGAACCCAGGTGTCCTGGCTTCTTAGACACCCTCCCCACCCCACAACAGGAATTAATCCTTCCCATCAATCAGAGATGGGCACTGGACAGCCAGCAGCAGGCAGGGAACCCAGGCGTCCAAGCTCCCAGCCCCCACTGTTCTCATCCATTAGACCCCTCCCAGAGATGGGACAGAAATCAGGTGACCTTGTTCCCTCTACCCCCGCCCAGTTCATCAGACCCCCCTCCCCTCCCAGAGTGGGACCCAGGTGTCTGGGCTGCTGGTACCTCAAAGAGGTGGCCCACGATGGGGGCATCAGCCCAGGAATGCTCAGCATTAACCCCGAGTTTCCCGTTCTGGAAGATGATCAAAGTGAAGGATTTATCAAACCACCTGTGGAGGGGAGGGAAGGCAATATGCAGGTGAGAACTGGGGGTGGGGGCGGAGCCTGGTGCTGCCTCCTCCCACCACTGGAGGGCAGGGCCTAACAGCCCCACAACATGCCCAAGTGACGGGGATGGAGACTGGGGTCCCTGGGGGAGGGAGGGGTCCCCATAGGGCAGTTGGCTTGGGAGATACAGTGCATCTGGGGGATCACCCAGCAGCAGCCCCCATCTTTGTCAGGGGGGTTGGGGGCTGTGAGACTACATTTCCAGGGTGGGGCTAGAAGTTCCTGTGGGGGTCATGGATTGCCCCTGTTTGTCATGGCCCTGCCCAGGGGTCAGGTCACGTGTCATGATCCTGCCCATGCATCAGCACCTTGGCATGATGGATGGGAGTCAGGTTTGCCTGTCATAGCACTATCTGTGGTAGACGGGGACCAAAGGTCAGGAGTCAGACCCCTCCCCTGCCGCTCCAGTTGTGGCACTGCTTGTGGTAGATAAGGTCAGGGGTCAGATCTGCCTGTCATGGGCCCCTACCCATGCATCAATGTCTTGGTGTGGTGGATTGGGGTTGGAGGTCAAACCCACCTGCCATAGCACTGCCCATGGTGAATGGGGGTCACAGGTCAGGGATCAGACTTACCTGTCGTGGCACTGCCCATGAAGAAGAGCCTTGGCGTAGCGGTCCAGCGCTCGGCCCGGGTCAGGCCCCGTCAGCCCCTGCTCGGTTGTGTCCAGGGTGACAAAGAAAGCAGCTCGTTCCACAGCCTCCAGTGACTGCTGGTTCTTCCCTGACCCAAAATAGGTCCGGCGGGCCCGAGCCCAGGGCTCCCTGTAGCATTTGTGAGGGAGAGGTCAGGCGTCAGAGGCCACCTCCCTCCCCTTCCCCCCAGGTCATCCACATCTCAAGTCCCATGCAAGTCCCTTTTGGACCCTCCCAGTCCCCAAGTACCCCCCTGGCCCCTTCCTCCCCAGGTCACAGCCCCTCCTGCCCCCCCTCCCACCATGTCTTGCTCCATATCTCTACCTGCCCCCTGTCCCTCCCCATGCACCTGTCCCCAGCGGTCAGGGCAGCCAGGTGTTCCTCTCCAGGCACAGGGGGCGTGGGGTCATCCAAGATGTGCTGGAACTGGGCCTGGAGCTCGCGGGGCCTGAGGAGCCGCCCGCTATGGTACAACCTAAGCCGGTAGAAACGGCCGGCGTGGAGCACTGCGATGTGCTTGCTGTCGCTCACATGCTGGATGCAGTCTGGGGAGGGGAGGGGACAGCCAGGGTGTGGGGGCAGGGCAAGGCAAGGGGGTATACCCTCCATGCCCCGCTCTCCATGGGCGGGGATCCACTCCCCCCACCCATGCTCCGTGGATAGGGATGCCTCTCTCCCCACTCCTACCCCACCAACAGGGCCTCCTGCTAGATGGAGAGACCCCACACTTCCCCCAAGCACAAGGGACCTCTTCCCATTCCCAGACCCCATGGAAAGGGACACCCCTCCCCACCACTCATACCTCACAAACAAGGCCCCCCTGCCCCCATGAATGGTGAGACCCCCCCAGTCTTCGCCATGGATGGAGACCACCCCCTACAAAAAGGGACATTCCTCCAATCCTGAACACAGATGGACACCCCCTACCCTTCATGGACAGGTACCCCTCTTCCACCCCATGACCAAGGAGAGCCCCTCTGCAGGGTGTACCCCCCCTCCCACTAGCCCACTGCCAAATCCACCCCAGCACAAGGGAGAGGGTTGGGGTGACTTATGTTTCCCTCCCTTTGGGTCCCCCCAACCTCCAGATCACCCCAGGATCTGCCCCCCTGGGGTTCCTGGCTCCTGCAGGTCCTCAGTCTGGGTCCCCCATCATGGAAGGTGGGGGATCAGTGGGATATTAGCTGATCCATTCTGCAGCCAGCCCTGGGCATAGGGGTAGGGGTCAGTGGGCTATAACCCCGCAGTCTCTGGAAAGGAATTGTGTGGGTGAGGGGGTCCCCTACCTGCCTCCAGTCCCGGGATGCGGGTGGTGCCAAACATGTGCTCATACTGAGCAGAGCACAGGGGGAGGGTGCCCTGAATCATCAGCTGGGAGGGAGTGGGTGTCACCAGGGTGGAGAATGGGGATAGAGAGAGAGGGAGGGGGGTAGAAAGTCAGGAGAGACCCCTGCTGAGTGCCCCCGAGTCACCACAAAAGCAGAGCCTCTCCACCCAAACTGGGTGCAAGGGGGGCAAGGGGAAATTTCAGCAGCTCAGAGCTCACCTCGAAAACACAGCCCCCAGGCTGGGGGTGGGGCACGCAGACCGTAAAAGGCAGCCCCACAGAGACCCCAGCCCCCAAAGCATGGCCCTCTGCCCAACCTTCTGCCCCTTGCTTGGGGGCTGCTCTAACCCTAAAACAAAGGGAGGGATCTAGAAGGTAGGTCAGAGCTGGGAGCAAAGGAGACCCCGGACCCAAGATTTCATAGTTTCATAGTTGGTAGGGTCGGAAGGGACCTAACCAGATCATCAAGTCCGACCCACTGCCATGGGAGAAAAGAGAATGCTGGGGTCAAACGACCCCAGCTAGGTGATTATCTAGAATCCTTTTGAAGACCCCCAGGGTATGAGCAAGCACTACTTCCCTAGGAAGTTGGTTCCAGATCCTAGCCACCCTAACTGTTAAGTAGTGCCTCCTGATGTCTAGCCTGAATCTACTCTCAATCAATTTGTGGCCATTTTTCCTAGTTACTCCTGGTAGTGCTTGGGGGAACAGGGACTCTCCCATTCCCAGCAGGTCCCCCCTGGTAAGTTTATAGACAGCCACCAGGTCCCCTCTCAGCCCTCCCTTGTGGAGGCTGAACAGGTTCAGGTCCCATAGCCTCTCTTCGTAGGGCCTGCCCTGCTGCCCCCTGACCGTGCGAGTGGCCCTCCTCTGGACCCTCTCAATGCTGTTCACATCCCTCCTGAAGTGCAGCGCCCAGAACTGGACGCAGTACTCCAAATGCAGCCTGACCAATGTTGCACAGAGGGGGAGGACCACCTCCTTGGACCTGCTCGTGTTGCATGTGTGGATGCATGACAAGGTGCGGTTCGCCTTACTGACCGCATCCTCACACTGGCGCCCCATGTTCATCTTGGAATCAGTAATGACTCCAAGATCCTTTTCTGCCTCTCTGTGCTGACGAGAAAGGAGTTCCCCAGCCCATAGGTATGCTGCTGGTTCTTTCTCCCTAGATGCAACACCCTGCACTTGTCAGTATTGAATCCCATCCTATTCTCATCCGCCCACCCCTGTAACCTGTCCAAACCTAGTTGTAGCCTGTCCCTCCTTTCTATCGTGCCCACCTCTCCCTACATCTTAGTGTCATCCGCGAATTTGAACTAGGTGCTTTTCACCCCCTCGTATAAGTTGCTGATCAAGATGTTCAACAGCGCAGGCCCAAAGACCGAACCCTGGGGAACCCCACTGCCCACATCCCTCCAGGTCGAAAATGACCCGTCCACCACCACTCTCTGGGTGTGGCCCTCTAGTCAATTTGCAACCCATCTGGCTGTGTAGGCATCAACATCACAGTCACCTAATTTTTTAATGAAAATGGGGTGAGAGACAGTGTCGAAGGCCTTCCTAAAGTCCAGAAAGAATATACCCACCATGACACCTGTGTCCAAGGATTTTGTGACCTGGTTGTAAAAGGCAACCAGGCTGGTCTGACAGGATCTGCTCCTAATGAACCCATGTTGGTTGCCCCTAAGCATAATCTCCCCTGCTGGTCCCTTGCAGATGTGCTCCTGGATAATTTTCTCAAACAGCTTCCCAGGACCGAGGTAAGACTAATGGGCCTATATTCTATAGTTAATGGGTCCTCCTTCCTCCCTTCTGGGGTTTCCTCTCAACAGGCCTGGGAGGGAGATTGGGGGAAGTCCCTGTTGCTCCCCAGCAAAGCTGGGGGACTCCAGCACTCACCCTGCCCCTCCCCTGGCAGTCGCGTGGTGTTAAAGACCCGATCCCACTGGGCAGTGCAGAGAGGGATCAAAGTGCCAGGCACCATGAGCTGCACCCGCAAACCCAGGAAGGGTTGGAGGGGCAGGAAGGGGACCCAGAGTGGGGGAGGGGGGAAGGAAATAGGGGGCCCAGGAAGGGGAGGCATCCATAAGGAGAGAGAAGGGAAACAGAGAGGAGTTAAGCATCCTGGGAAACTCCATGCCAAAAACTTGAGGAGGGAAGGAGGCAGTCCTGCCTATGCCCTCGTGGGCCAGACTCCTCCCACTGCCCCACCCCCCTGGATCAGGCTCCTCCCCACAGCTCAAGTACCAGCCCTGTCCCCACCCCTTTGCCCCATGAGTGGTGAGAAAGATGTTAGTCCCACCTACAGCCCCCAGAATAGGCCCCTCCCCTGGCCACACCCCAGGTTCCTCCCACCCCTCTAGCCCCACCCCAAACCTCAGGCTCCTACCACCCCCTCACCCCACCCCCAGCCTCAGACTCCTCCTACCTCGTTTCAAGCTCCTCCTGCTCCATCTAGCCCCACCTCCAAACCTCATGCTCTTCTCACCCACTCACACCAGCACCCACGTGCCCCACAGCCTCCCTGATGTAACTGTACACAAGCAGTTATACCCCCAGCCCCTGCCCGGTGCCCCCCTCACCGGCTTGATCTGCTCCTGGCTGAGAAGGCGCCGGTACAGCAGGATGGCGTAGACAGCATTGCCGGCACGGGCTGCCGGGATGGGGGTTGGGGTGACATACAGGAAGTCCTGGGGGACAGGGGGGTGTTGAGGGACACAGGTGAATGGGAGAGACCCCTCCCCCTTCCCCAGGGGCTCAGAGCAGGGTGTGGGGGGCAGACATGGGGGATCCCCCCTATAGCCAGCCCCTGTGGGGGACACAGGGGGGACCCTGATGTGCCCCCCTGGATTTTGGGGGACAGGCAGCTATTGCGGCCCCCCAGCTGAGGCCCTGTGCCAGGGCCTGCCTGGGCAGGCAGGGGAGTGGGGCAGTGCTGAGTTGAGGGCCAGTCCCCGCATAAGGTAAACTCTCTGCCCTTCCTGGGGACTCACCATGGCATAGTAGTTGCTGTTGACCATGATAGGACCCCGGCCCCGCAGGTAGACATACTCCTCCCACCAGTCACTCACCTGCAGGGAGGGCGATCCTTAGAGCAGCCCTTGCCAACCCCCTGTCCACTGCAGCATAGCGCCCCCTAGTGCCACCCCTCTGCACAGCACAACACAACCTTCCCTAGTGCCACACACACTGTGCACAGTGCCTCCTAGTGCCCCCTGCCCTGCACCCACCAGCACGGTGCCCCCTAGTGCCACATACTGCATGCACCCCAGCACAGCGCCCCATAGTGCCCCCTGCATCCCACAGTGCAGCACCCCCAGTGCCCCCTGCCCTGCACCCCACAACACAGCACCCTCTACCGCCAACACACTGTGCACCCCAACACAGCACCCCCTAGTGCCCCCTGGTCCCTACAGCACAGTGCCCCCTCATGCCCCCTGCCCTGCACAGCGCTCCCTAGCAACACCCTGTGCAACCCCGCACAGCATTCTCGAGTGCCCTCTGCCCTACAACCCACAGTACAGCATCCCTACCACCAACATCCTGTACACCCCAGCACAGCGCTCCCTAATGCCCCCCTGCTCCCTGCAGCACATCACTCCCTAGTGTCAAGGCAGAATCACTCACATAGTTGGAGGCCCACCAGGATTTCAGCTTCAGGTACCACTGCAGCCGTGGCCCCAGCGAGTGCTCAAAGTCCCGGGCCAGTGCTGCCATGCGCTGGAATTGTAGGTCTGACAGCAGGGGCCGCACGGACTCCAGGTACTGGGGGGGAAGGGGGAGCAGCAGGCGGTGTGGGGTCACATCCTGGGAATGCCCCCCCCATGGGTGCTGGGAGGTGGAGGCATATCCCCACTTCCCCAGCCCCCCACCTGTACCCAATACCCAGGAATCATGGTCAGAGTCTTCCCACAATCCCCCTGGGGTAGCACTTTGGCCAAGGCAAAAAGGATTCTGGGAGTGTGGGATGGGAGCGGGGTATCACAAGCCACCAAGGTGGGAAGATATGACCTGGAGGCAGGAGCTCCTAATCTGGGGTGGGGGTTCTTACCATAGCAACCACAGGCTCCAGCCCACCCAGGTTCAGGGGGCACCCTCTAGCCCCCCAGATGCTCCCCACAACCCTTGGCTTCCCTGCCAACCTTTCAGCTCCTGGGGACCCCTGTGCCAGCCGCCATGCCCCAAGTCTCCCCTTCCCAGAGCCTTCCAGCCCCAGCTCCCTCTCCCCTCACCCCAGTGACCCATAGCTCACCCGCTGCATGGTGTCATGGATGGTGGGCACGGGCAGGCGTGGCAGACAGGCCTGGTAGCTGTACAGCATGGGTTTGCGGCCAGCAAAGATCTTCACCAGTGCCTATGGGGTAGGGACAAAGGTGGTGGGGGAGGCCCCACAGAGCACAGAACCCCCCCCCCCCCATCCCACTCACTTGTGGGGCAGAGAGCAAGGGGGAAGACAGAGCCAGACAACCTCTCTCCATGCATGGCCATGTCCCATCATCCCTGTGCATTGATCCACCAGCCCCTGACATAGCCCAGTATCCTCTGAAGGTGTCCAGCCGTGGCCCCCTCTCTGTGGCCCCCGCCTGGGCCTAGCCATGGCACATACCAGCCAGACCTTGGTGGTGTGGGACATCTTGCCATGGGCCTCGTACATCCAACCATGGTAGGAGAGCAGCAGCTTCAGGATGGAGCGCATGGTGAGGATGAGAGCCAGCCACAGCACTGTGGCAAAGGCCAGCGCACACAGCGCAGCTTGTGTCGGCTCTGAAAGGTACCCGCTACAGGGGAGGGATGGGGCTCAGTGCCATGGGGCAGCCGCATCCCCTCCCACATCTACCCAGCACACTGGGAGGAGCAGAAGGACACAACCTCTCCAGAGCAGAAGGACCCATCCTCTCCAGTACCATGCCCCCTACACACTAGAGCCCCCAGAGACATGCTCAGGCCCTCCCAGACCCTACCCTCCATCCCCCCATGCCCGCTCCTGCCCAAGTCCCTGTGTGCCAGGTACCGGCCAGGCAGGTGCTCCTGGATCTTCCCGATCAGGCCCATGGAGGGATCAAGGCGCCAGAACTGGGCGAGTAGGATAGTGCCAGCCACAAAGACCCAGCTGGCTGGGCTGGCGGGGTACACACCTGTCACAAAGCTATTCTGTAGTGGGGAGGGAGGGGAAGGCAGGAGGTCAGTGGGGGCATCGGAGCCTGACCCACAACCCCAATCCCAGCCCCTCAGCATGGGCCCCATCTGTCCCCTCCTTCAATCCCAGCCCCACAGTGTGACCTCAGACTGCCCCAGAGTGCTCCTGCCCCATAGCCCCATCCATGTAGCACAGTCCCCTGCCCTGCCCCAGCCTCCCTGCTCCTAGTATTGTGTTGTGATCCCACACCATGATGCCACAGCCATCCCATCCCATCCCCATGGCCCTACAAAGCACCCAGCTCTACCACAGCACCCCCCCCCACCCCAGTTCCCTGCTACAGAGCCTGTCTGGAGCCCTTCTGATTCACACAGGACCCCATTGCCCACCCCTTCCCCAGTCTGACCCAACAGCCCCCAGCACCTGCCTTGTCTATCCCCTTAGCCCCTGCCCCACAGTCAGCCCTGACCCCAGGCCCCCCAACCCCTGACCCACAGCATGATCCCATAGCCCTCCCTCATGGGCCCACTATCCCCAGTCCTGCAGCCTGACCTCAGGATACTTGACCCACGGGGTGATCCCAGACCCCCCCTGCCTCAAGCCCACTGAATTTCAACCCCCCAATCCCAGAGCCGGAGCCTGACCCCAAAGCCTTCTCTCCCCGGCACTGTGGGGCATGACCCCCTTACCCGCAGGCGGCCGAGTCTCTTCTTCCAGGAGTGCAGCCCCGAGAGGTAGACCTGCTTCAGAGCCACATGGCTCAGGTGTACATTGATGCCCTCTGGGGAGACCGTGAACTGGAATGCCACGGCCTGGTGGGCCTCTGCCATGACTGTGGGGTGCTAGCGGGCCAGCTGTGGGGCAGAACAGGGAGGTGAGGGCAAGCACATCTGGGATAGGCTCACCTCCCCCTCCCCTACCAACTCAACACAGACCCTGGGAGCCAGGACACCTGGGATCCATCCCTGGTGCTTGGAGCGGGATGAGTAGCTTGAGCCAGGACATTGATCTCCCGACCCTAGAGGCAGCTGCATCTCAGCACTGGGAAGGGTCCCTGTGTAACCCGCCTCTGACATGCCCCACCCCAGAAGTTGCTACAGCTCAGCACCAGGAAAAGGGGTGCTGTAGGACCTGCCTCTCCAACCTGTTCCATCCCAAAGGAGATGCCATACAACTCTCCTCATCCCCAGCATCAGGTGCTCCCCTCCCCTATCTAGGCCAGGGGCAGTGTGGTCCTGCTGTATACCTGACTGCTGGCTAATGGGGCAGAGAGCAGAGTGACCTCACATAGGCACCAGGGTGACCTCATATGGGATGCTGATGAGCTCATAATCTGTTGCCATGGCAGCACTGGAGGAACCCAGAAGGTACCTCAAAGCTAGATTAGGTGGAGGAGATAGATCTGTGTATGGACCCCCCCTCTATCCTTCTGAGAGCTGGGATAGAACCCAGGCATCCTGGATCTCCCCCCACCGCAGTTCTAACTCACAAAACCCCCTGCCCCTGCCACAGCCCAGATAGAACCCAGGTGTCCCTGCTTCCTGCTACCCCGGATCTAACCCACTAGACCAGAGGTAGGCAAAATGCAGCCCACGGGCCAGATGCGGCCCGCCAGGCCATTCTATCTGGCCCGCGGGACCCCCCAAAAATTTAGAAAATTAATATTTATCTGCCCCTGGCTGACTGTCATGCGGCCCTCGATGGCTTGCCAAAACTCAGTAAGCAGCCCTCCATGTGAAATAATTGCCCGCCCCTGCACTAAACTCCAATCCCCTGCCACAGCCCAGCCAGAACCCAGGTATCCTGGCTCCCCACCCTCCCCTGCTAGATCCCACTCCCCTCCTAGGGCTGGGACAGACCTCCAGAGTGGGTTGGGTATTCATAGGGGACACTCTCCCATGACACACTGCTAGCCCCACTGCAGTTTGGGGGCATGAAGGCAGGGGAGTTATTGCCTATCAGCTGGGAATATAAACAGCCAAGATGAGCAAACTACCCCTCCAGCATCTTTTGCACTGAGTGTGAACTGAGATGTCCTAGCCCAGATGGAGAAATTATACCCAGAGGTGGCTGCATTTTGGCACCAGCAGAGGGACCTGTGGCTCAACAGCCCAGGCATCCCACTCCAGAGCCAGCTGCATCTCAGCCTGAGGTGAGGGGCCCCAGTAGAAGTAGCCCCAGTGCCTCAGACATCACAGCCGGTAGCTCTTCCAGGTGGCCTTGCAAGTAGTGAGGGAGCCAGGATCTACCCCTGTGTCCTGCCCCACCCTACCCTGTTCCACACTCCCTGTCCTAAGGGCTCTGGAAAGCAGAATCTGGGAGAAAGGTCATCCTCAGGCATGCCAAGGTAGTGCCTCCAATGATTTTTTAGCATCCCATTGCTACCGTTCATCTCCCCACCCTGTTCCCTCTCCTGAGGCAGACAGAGGGAGAGAAGGATGGGACACCTTGCCTGGGAAAGTCAGGGGGAGAACCCAGGTGTCCTGGCTCCCAGCTCCTCTGCTCTAACCCAACAGAGCTGGGAGAGAACCCAGGCATCCTGGCTCCCAGCCCCACCTTGTCCCCCACCCACCAGACCTGCTTGAACCCCATTCCTTGTGCAGAGATAGAACCCAGGAGTCCTGGCTATCATCCATTAGACCCCACTTCTTTTCCAAAGCTGGGATGGAAGCCAGGACTCCTGGGTTGTATTTCCCCCTAGTGAGTCCCTGCTGTAATCCACCAGACTTCACTTGTCTTCCAGAGCTGGGCTAGAACCCAGGTGTCCTGGCTCTCAGCCTCCCTGCTCCAACCCCCAGATACAAGATAAAACTCAGGTATCCAGGCTCCCAGGTTCCTTGCCCCCCTCTCAACTCAAACCCACTAAACCCCCTCCCCCTCTCCCAGCTCTGTGGTGGAACCCAGGCATCCTGAGCCTCAACAATCCTCTGCTAAAAACACACCTCTCCAGGGCCCTTCTACAGGATAACAACCAGCTACTGCTGCTGGTTCTTCTGGGAGCTGTGTTCTGGTTATGACAGGGCCTGGCTGCAGCCATGTGACTTTTTACCATCCTAAACTCCCCAAAGAGTTTCCTCTTCTCCTTCCATTTCCCTACCCTCGGGAAGCTGCTTCCTCTCGCTGTCTCTCAACCTCATTTCCCATGCTGTCCTTGGGATAGCATAGGGCTGTCCAATTCCCCTAGTCCCCACAAGACCCAGGGGCAGCGTGCATGTGTGAAAGGCAGGGAATGGCACCAGGGAGATGTAGGGGTTAGTCCAGCTACTACTTGCCCCCTGCTGCTGACACATGCCCCCATCATGTCCCCCAGGGAGCTCAGATTTCAGTGGGGGCCCCTTCCCCTGCTCACCCCACCCCCAAACTTCCAGTCCCTCCAGGAGCCCTACAGGCTCAGGGTCTGACATAGGCATGGGTGAACCAGGCAGCCGCCTGGGGCCCGGACAGAAAGGGGGCCCCAAAATGGTAATTTAAAAATTATTATCATCATTATCTCTGGCAAAGGGGCACCCAATACTAATGTTATCTCGGGGCCACTAGGAGTCTAGGCACAGTGCTGCATGGGCTGTGTCTGACCCCATGGATCCCATGGGCCATATCTTTCTTTGACACCCCTGCAATAAGTGCCTTTCCTTTCCTCTAGTCAGACTTAAACAACATTTAATCTGAAGGTGGGGAAAAAGGCCAATGTCTTTGAAAATGAGCCCAGGAAACCCAAGCAGCCAGGTGCTCTCAGCTCTGGCCCAGACTTCAGGATCTCTCCCCCCTGCACCCATTCATGAATAAAAGGAACATCTAAAACCATCAGCCCCAAACCAAACTGGTCTCTTTCTTCTCTGCTTTGCCTGTTGGGCCCTGGAGGGATCCCAGGCCCCGGCAGCGACAGGGAGGAACCAGGCAGACGCCCCATGACGGAATTTTTGTGGGGCAATAGCACAGAGGAAACGGGCCAAAAAAGTGGCTGGGAAGCATCCCGCCCTTACATCATGGGTGTGGCAGCGCAGCCTGACCTGCCTTGGTTCCTTGCAGGGCTCTGCTTTGTTTGTGGGGGGAGGGGGCACCCAATGTAGGCTTCGCACACCCTCCATTATCCCTCAGCCCAGCCTGCCCACCCCCCACTGAATCACCAGGCTTCACTCTGCCTATAGAGGGGTGGAGGGGCTCAGCTTCCCCAGGACGTGCCATGCCCCCAAATGAGGGAAACTGAGGCAGAGGTCCAGGCCAGCCAGGAGCCCACTTTTTAATCCTCCAACTGAGGCAGAGGTCCAGGCCAGCCAGGAGCCTTCTTTTTAATCCTCCCCCCCTAGCCAGGAGCCATGGTGTTTTGATGTGAATTAACCAACCCCATCTCATAGAAGCAACTGCATTGACCACAAACGAAACCTCACAGGATGGTGTTGATGGGCTTGGAGGGAGAAATAATGAGTGACCTCCAGCTGGCATCCAAGGGCTTCAGCTTGCCAGGAAAGTGCCCCCCAACCCCATGTACACGCCCCCAGACAACACCCCACCTCCTCAGCACAGCCTTCTCCCCTTCTCCCTGGGGGTGGGGGAGCTCACCTTCCCCAGCTCCAGAGGGGCAGGGGGGCAGTGGGGTCTGTTGGGTGAGAGCTGGGCTGGGAGCCAGGATGCCTGAGTTTTTCTCCAGCCATCTGGGCCCAGAAGGGGCAGAGTTAAGGTGACATGAACCTGCCTCTGCTGTGGGGCATCCCTGCTTGGTTTGGTCATTTCCTTTCCCTTCTCTGCTTCCCTATGGAAATGGGACGTTCTTTCTAGGAAGGATTTTGCGGAACAACTAGTTGTTCCTGGTTCTACATCCCCCCACCCCCACCCCTCTTTCCTTGGGCTAGGCACCACCCAGCCCCCTGACCGAGACTGGTGCCTGGTTTGGCCAGTCATAGATGCCTGGGAAGCTGCCAGTCTGACCAGACCACACATTCACCCCATTTGGCAGAGGTGTAAACTGAGACAGAGAAGCTCAACGACCAGAGAGAACCCATGCCCTGGAGCCAGGAGGTGAACCCAGATATCCGGAGTCCAAGGCTCAAACAACCTGGCAGATCTGGGCAGCAACACTGCCAGCAGGGTCATAGTTTCACACACCTTTGTACAGCTCATTTTGCAGCCAGGCAGGTCCAGATGGGCAAGGGACCCACAAGACCCCACTCCCTTCCCAGAGCCAGGAGAGAACCCAGGAGTCCTGGCTCCCACCCTCCTTCCCCAAGCCATCCTATGTCACTCCACCACCAGAGCTGGAGGAAGAATTCAGGCATCCTGTCTCAAAGCTCTCTTCCCTGCCCTGACCCCACCAGTCCCCACTTCCCTCCCAGGGATGTGAGCTCAGGAGTCCCGGCTTCCAGACCTCTGCTTTACCCTCCCTGCAATTCCCCAGAGCTGGGAAATGCAGGTGTCTACCCCATGCCCAGAGGGACTAGGAGAACCAGCCAGGAGATGCCCCTGCAAAGGCAATCCCAGCCCCCAGATACCTGCACCAGGCTGTGAGCTCTCCAAGGACTGCTAGGACAATGCTGCGCTCTGCCTGGGTCCCAGGAGGGAACCCAAACATGGCCATAGCCCAGCCCCAGCCCCGGCCCCACCCCCAGCCTGCCCTGCTGACAAGTTGAACTAGTTCTCTCCCTGGCACTCTCAGGGCCTGGCAGGATCCCAAGTCACTTGAAAGACACGGGGAAAAGGGTGGGGGACCCAAACAGCATCTTCTCAGGTAGGGGGTAGGATAGAACCCAGGTGTCCTGGCTCCCAGCCCCCCCACTCTAACCCATCATACCTACTACTGTCCCTGAGCTAGGATAGAACCCAGGCATCAGGACACCCATTCCTACCACTAAGGGGTGCCAAATCCAATCTGGGCCCCAGGGTGGGGAGGGGACTGGCTGGCTCTGGGGGCTGGAAATGGGGCCTAGGCCTTCCAGTGGGGACCAGCCCTGCTCCCTTTCTTTCATGCAGGATTGGGGGAGGGGCTAGATTCTGCCCCCTCCTTTCCCTCCTGCATCCCATCAGAGGTAATGGGCCAACCTTTCTCAGGCAGGGGGTGGGGTGGGATGGGGGGATAAAACCCAGGTGTCTGGGTTGCTAGCCTCTCATGTTCCAATCCACCAGACCCCACGGCCTCCCAGAACTGGGAGAGAACCCAGGTGTCCTGGCTGCCAGCCCCTCTTGCTCTAAGCCCTTTAGCCTCCACCACTCACAATTTTGGGAGAGAATCCAAGTGTCCCCCACCAGCCCCACTCCCCTCCAAGAGCTGGGCTAGAACCCAGGCCTCCCCTCCCCTTGCTCTGACCCAGGAGAAACCAGGACAGAATCCAGGCATCTGATCCCCCAGCCCTGCACTCACCCTGCGGCCCAATGTCTCCAGCTCAGGGTGTCTGCTGGCAGGCGTGGGGAGTGTGCTGGACCCCACGTGCCCCGATGCAGCCATGTGGGGCCAGAGAGGCTATGCCAGGCCCCCACCCCCAGCACCCGGGGTGGGGCACCCCCGCCTCTATCCCATCCCCCTCCCCCAGGGATGCTCAGGCTGGTCCAGATGCTGAGGATGCAGCCAGGGATACAGGGGAAGATGCTGCCCGCAGCCAGGGATACAGGGGAAGATGCTGCCCCTACCCAGAACCCAAAGCAGGGACCCGGAGGACGGGGGCGAGGTGTGGGGGGAGGTGCCCGGAGCTTGCGTGATACGTCACAGCGTGGGGAGGGAGGGCTGGGAGCCAGGGTTCTCTCCGAACTCGGGGAGGGGGGGTGTTCTAATGGGTTGGGAGTGGCTGGGAGCTAGGACGCCTGGATTCTTTCCCAGTGGTTTCTACCGGGTCAGAGCCCCATGATCTGCCCCCGAGAGGGGCACGCGTGGGAAGGAGGAGCCCCGTCATGCTAGGAGGGGGCGGGGCAGCCCAGACGCCAGGGTTCAATCCCCAGGGTGCGGTGAAAGTGGTGGGTAGCTGCTGCCACCGGCTGCCGCGCTGGCCTTCCTCACCAGGATGGACAGACACACGGACTCATTCCCCCACCCGCAGCTCCGAACCCGGGGTCACTGTGCTCTGCTGCCTCGCCCTGCTGCCCCCTTGCCAGGAGGCTAAGGGCCCGGACGCCTGGGTTGTCTCTCACCTCTGGGAAGGGAGCGAGATCCAGGGGTTTGAGGGTGGGGGGAGTTGGGGAAGGGAGCCAGGACACCGGGGCTCTATCCCCAGCAGGGATCCGGCTGGACGTGGGGTCCAGCGCCAGGGGCTGTGTTTTCTCCACGCTTTGGGAGATGGGGCTGGGGCCAGGACACCTGGGTTCCTGCTCGGGGAGGGGACAAGGAGGCTGGAAGCTGGGTTGCCTGGGTTGTGTCCCCACCCCTGGAGGACGAATGGGGTCCAGGAGCCGGGACACCTGGGTTCTATCCCTGCCCAGCTGGAAGGGGATGGGGGTCAGGGTCAGGATGTCTGGGTTCTAACTCCAGCTCAGGGAGGGGAGTAGGGGCCAGGACACCTGGGTTCCACCCCCCGCTGCCCTCTCCCCCAAAAGAGCAACAGCAGGAGGCACATCTGTACCAATAAACCTCTTTATTAGACCTGTGCTCAGGCCCTGATGAACGAAGAACTTGGGACTGGGGGGGCAGAGCCCCCCCAGCTACCCTCCTCTCCCCAGCACCATCCAGCCTGCCCATCTCCACAGCAGCGCCCGCTTTGCTCTGATGCTGCCTCTTTTGGGGGAGTGGGGGGGACCCCTGCTCCATCCATGTCCGTGGGGTGGGGGAAGGCTGGGGGGGGCCTGTCCCCTAGTTCCCCAGAGGGAGGGGTCTAGTTCTGTGCCAGCCCCAGGAGGGAGCTGCCCTCCCTGCCACCGGTGCCTGCGTCTTGCCAGGGCAGGGCCCTGCTCTCAGCCGTGTTGCCCACGGAGGGGTGGGGGCGCAGGGGCTATGTGCCCGTGGGGGCCCCTCGTCCAGCTGCCCCCCGCCGCCGTCGCCCATAACCCAGGGGGTCGGCTGTGCCCTTGCTGGTCTTGCGGGAGTCGTCCTTGAGGTCCTTGCTGCCGAAGTGGTACAGTAAGCTGGCCAGGTTCTGGGTCTGGCATGTACCCAGGTGGCATCCACGGCCCGGGGACAGTGGGGACACCTGGCGTGGGGGCCGGCGCCGGGGGCTGGGGGGAACAAAAGGGCATGGGGTTAGGATACCTGGGTTCTCACCAGGCTTGGGGGCGGGGAAGGGGGAAGCCAGGACACCTTGGTTCTCCCCTTACCTCTGGGAGAGGTGTGTGTGTGTGTGTGTGTGTGTGTGTGGGGAGGGGGCGGTCTAATAGGTTAATAGCAGTAGGTCTGTGAGCCAAGACACCTAGGTCCCCTCCTCAGCTCTGAGAAGGGAAGGGCATCTGGGGGGTTACAGCGGAGGCCAAGGGGAGCTGGGAACAAGGACGCCTGGGTCCTTTCCTGGCTGACCAGGAGATCGCCCAGGATGGTGGGGAAGGTGGAAATGATCTGATCACAAGGTGGGCACCATATCCCCTAGCCCCCCATGCCCTTACCTGCCGGGCAGGCCGAGCCCTTCTCGCACATCCTCCGGCCGTACATAGCCCTGGGCACTGCCCCAGGCCTCAGAGCCCGGCTCCCGGGGGGCTGGCAGCGCCAGGGGTGCTCCCCGCAACTGCTCCAGGAAGGTTACCACGGGTGGGGGGTGTCGCCTGCAACAGACCCAACGGGGGAGGTTACCTTCAGTGGGGGGGGGTCCCCAAAAGACTGTCCAGGCTCGTCCCCACTGTAGACCCCTCCCCTGCCCAGTCCAGAGGCTCACCTGGATGCAACATCCCCCAAGCTCCGGGACTCACAGGGCACCGACGCCACAAGCAGCAGACATTGTAGCAGCTCAGGCAGACAGCGGGGGGCCATGGCAAGGGGTCTGGGGGAGGAAGAGTGGGTGGCATGTCAGTGCTGGCAGAGAACCCAGGTGTTCAGCCTCCCACCTCCCCCGTGAGCTCTAACGCACCAGCCCCCACTCCCCGCCAGAGCTGGTAGAGAACCCAGGTGTCCAGGGTCCCAGCCCCACCAGTCTAACCCACTGACTAGATCACCCCCGCCCCCTTCCAGATCTGGGAACGAACCGAGGCATCCGGGCTCCCACTGGACCGCCCCCCCCGAGAGCTTGGGAGAGAACCCAGGTGTCCCGGCTCCCAGCCCCCTGCTCTACCCCACCAGCCCCCACTGCCCTCCCAGAGCTTGGAGAGAACCCAGGTGTCCGGGTGGGGAGTGGGGGGACCCCAGGCAACCTGGCCACCCCCAATAAACCTGGGTGCAGGCACTGCTCACCTGGGCTCCAGGCGGCTTGCTGTATCCGTGTGTCTGTCCAGGTGCTGATCTGTCTGTCCACGCTGAGCCGCTGTCACAGTGCCGGTCCCAGCCCAGCAGGGCCCTTTTAAAGTCCAACTGGGGCGTGGGGGGGGGGCAGGGGGCGGGGTTTTCGCAGCTGCCCTGGGGGAGGAG